AGAGAGAATTACATGGGGTGTGCCGCGTTGCTCTCCTGCGAGCGCCAGAAAAGGCAAATCTGGGTAACCTGTCCAGATGGCTATCAGCCTGACTGCGACAGTGGCTGCATTCCCTTACCAAAAGCGGCTGAATGTCCTGAAGAAGCACAAGACCTTATTTCCTGGGTGCGGGCAAACGGTGGATTCGTGGACGCGCGCTTGCGTATTGGGAATGGTCCGTTTGGCCGAGGTCTATTTGCAAAGGAGCGTGACTTTGGGTGACGAGTTGATAGACAGAGGAAACATTATTCAACCCCAGTTGCAAACCGTCTCGCAACAAAATGATGATGTCCTGTTCGAATTGTTTGGATTTGGGGCGCTGTGTTTTTTGCGGTCCATTTGAGACATGCGCCTGAGATAAGGCCTTTTGTTTTAGAGGCAGGGCTTTAGCAACACAGGAGGATATTGCAACGTCGGAGCTCCTGGTGTCTTTGCCTTTGGAGCTAGTCATTACAGACAAGGCTTCTCCTTGTGCCGCAATTAGGCAGCTGAGGGATGAATTGCATCGAGGAAGATGCTCCTCGTTTTGGCCATACCTGCGGACCTTACACGGGGCAGAGGTGTTGGTACCAGACGCCTGGTCCTTTGAAGACCGGGCCCTACTGGATGGGCTTCCTCTGCCCAAGGGCGGTTGGCAGAGCTACTCGCAGAAGTATTTTGCAGATTGTTTGGACGGCAACGCCGATGCCTTGGTGCTGCGTGCCCTTCACCTCTACCACACTCGTGCGGGCCCGTTCGGCCACTTGGTTTGCACCAAGCCGTCCAGAGCCGTTTGGCAAAGCCTCAATGCAAAGTGCTTGTAGCCTGGCATCTGTTTGGGGGGCTGTTTGCCTGCAGCTTACCTTAGAGGCAATGCATTAAGGCATGAGCCCAATTTTCGACCTCATGAATCACGGCACCTTGGATATGAATTGGTGTTGGCTGCTCGCTTCTGCAAGCTGACACATGGGAGCACCAGAGACTTGCTGAGAAAAAGTCTGCACGATTTGAGGCTACAACAGCACGTGGCACAGTTTCGACTCCGAGCAAGGAGACAAAGGCTCGACACTTGACATGGCACCTCTCAGTAGTATCGCAGTTTTGATCGGAATCCACCACGTTGTTGTTCTTGCTTTTAATGAGCAGTTTGAGCAATGTGGCATTTGTAAGTGTGATGCCATTCGCTTAGCTGATTCACTGAACGCATTTGGACGTTGGCAAGCCTCGGGGTCCGAGCGTGTAGGCGTGCAGGTAAAAACGAGCGCATGACAGGTACCTTTGTGCTCCGCACAGCCTCCAACATCAAAGCTGGGAGCGAACTCTTCAACTCGCTGGTGAACCTTGTTTGTGAGATGCATCTTGCTGCATGCTGTCCATGAATTCAGCTTTGCGAACCGAGGAATGGTGTTGCATTCCGACCTGGAGTGGTGCCAGGCTTAGATTGAGGCTGGGGACTCATGTTCTGTGTGTATGAAAAGTTAGGAGTTCAAGAGCACAACAGGGCAACGGTTGCGCCATGTCTGAGGCACCTGGCATGCATTCTGAAGATTTTGATGGTGCACCAGAAATCTTCGGGACAGGGCTGAGCGATGTCGCCTTGTCGCCTTCCACGCGGATTTCGGGGGCTCATTGGGCTACACAAGTTCGGATTTGGGTGGTCACAAATTGGTACCCAACATGGATCGCGGGTAAATGGACGCCGGGACGAAAGCCTGCGGGCGGATTCCTGGTGTAATTTTGACCCATACCCAGTTGCTCAGCCGCAGGAGCTATGGCTTCCTGGAGCCACCGCCTGTCATGTGGTGGTTCCATGGGCTGACGACTGGCATTCGCCACGCCTGGATGCAGATGGACGGTGAAGGACGCGCCGTCGGGCGTTTGCTTCGGTGTCGCCAAGAACCCGTCTTGGAGACCCCGAACATGGGACCCTCAAGAGAAGCCACGGAAAACCGACCACGAACAAGCAAATGGAAGTATAGGAAGGCTGCGAAGCAGCACAAGCTATCGTACGATTCTCCTTCTTTCTGGCTGTGGGTTTTGTCTCAGTGCTATACCAAATAGTGGGAGGTTTGGGAAACGTCATTAAGCCATCACCGATCAGATTGGTGGGGGGGGGACACCACGGCAGATTTCAAGAATTTGCTTGAGTTTTGTCAATAGCAAGGCAATGTGGCTTTGATTTTTTAGGGACCCCCCAAAGTGGTGGTGTTCCTTTTGGTTGCCCTTTAAACCCAACCAACAAGGAATTCCCAAAACGGACACACCCATCTGTTGCTTGTCCTGTTTCGCGGGAAAGGTATCTCGTATCTCGCAGATCCGGCAGTCAGGCGCAGTCCTGTGGTTTCAGACCACAGAGCACGGCCCCGGCACCAACCTCACGGCACTCACGGTAGATGCTGCAGTGACCTTGGCAGATCTTCAGGACAGGCCGTCGGAGCCAGAGGTTGAATGGAAACCCGCTCACTTCTATGCAGCCAGAAGTTGTAGCGGCAAATTCACCGTATGGTCAAGTGAACGCGTGTTTGATGTGTGTCATTTAAAAAGTTGCTGCTTCATGGTCGACTTCAAAGGAAGCCACGCGAATCACCATGATTTGCTGAACACGTGATGCCAGCATTCCCGCGCAAGTGTCAGTTTGTTTATGAATTCGCAGGAGCGCGAGGAGAGACTAGCACTTGTGCTTGGCAGGCAGAATCGTTCATGTTATGAATTTCTCCATCCGCTTGGTCCAAGGAACCTTTCTTCGCAAACTGCTTCGCCGCAGCAGCTATTGGCTCTCAAGTACCGAGAGGCGCGGGCCCTGGAAGCCCTTGGATTTGCAGCATGTCATCGCAGCCACTCAACCTATCATGCGGGAACCCCGACGCATGGCCGAGGGCTGAAGCGTTTGCCAAAAGGAACGGATACGGTCGCGTTGAAACCCTGCAGGCCTTCAAGGATGCCTTGAAGCTTGCCGTGAAGGCGGTGTTCTCTTCCTCGGTGAGCTGGTTTTCCTTGCCACCAAGGTTAAGATAGCATCTTAAGATAGCATCAGGTAAAGCATATGTTTGAGCTGTGGCACTTGACCTGCTGTTTCTCCACTTTTATTTTGTGGAGCTGTGGCACTTTCATGTTCTATCTTCCCCCGTCAGGCAGCTGCTGCTGAGCTTGGGGCGCGCACCAGAGAGGAGCTGTGACCGCAAAAAGCGGGCGGACTCTGGCCGCAATGCTTCGCTTGGGGACCGCCGGAACTTGGCAGCGGGCGCTGCAAATCTCAGAAATAGCCACAAAGCCCAAAAATGCAGGAGACGAAAAGGCAAGATGCCATGCCAAATCCAGAACACAAGTTAAATCCAGAACACAAGTTAAATCCAGAACACAAGTTAAATCCGAAATGGTCGGAACTGATCGGCGTGCTTTGGAAGGGTAGGATGCTATGGTCGGGCCGGTCAGGATGGAAAAGGCAATCTAGAAGGTTTCCACCTCTTGGCTTTGAGAATGATCAAAGCATTCTGCCCTGGCAAGGATGGTCTGCACTGCACGATTAGAGCAAGCGGCACGTCGAGACGCTTTGGACTGTTGTTGCAGGACAGGTCGAACACATTTAGGACGGAATCACAGCTTGCGTTTGAGGGTTCCCGGAAGAGCACGTGCAAGATGCGGCTATATGTACTAAGTTTCAGATGAGCCCAGGATTGCTTTGCGGTTGGCTTGGGGTTTGCTTCTGCAAATTTCTCCATGTCGACCAAATTTCAGCTACCTGTCGCATTTGGCTCGCCTTGTGGAGGGCCCAGATTTGGAAGACGGCAAAAAGGTGCCACACGTGTTGCAGTAAGTGAAGCGTCAAGCAGGGCATACAGAGGATTACCTCACCACACATTTTGCAGCATAGTCCAAAGACTTTTAACTTGCACATGTCAACATACAGCATGTTATGCTGGGATATGCTGGAGCTTGTTAGAGCTGATTCGCCAGGGCCTTTCGTTCTGTCGCACAACTGCAATGGGAACAGTGCACTGAGCTATGAGCGGGGCTGGCTCCCGAAACTTGCAGTTTGGCAGCATGCCATGCAGGACATGGCTGTGGTTGTCAAATCCAATGCGATCACATTTTGGGGTGGGTGAATTCACCACCCATTTTAGAACCTATTTGTAGTGGGGGATTGGGATGTTCACTGGGGGTACGATTTGGATTTTGACCCATGCCCACATTGGCACCTGGAGAGTACTTGGAAAGTCCATTTCTTTTGAAGGAACCTTCTGTCAGCTGCTATGTGTGTGGGAGGGAGGCCAAGTTCCCCGTTAGTATCGACTCCGGCTTCTCTTTTTGGCGAGTGTTTTGCGGATGTGGGTTTCAACCACCCTCACCAAATGTCCACCAAACCCCAAAGTAAAACGCCGAGCTGCATTCATCCCTGAGGCAAAGCCTTGTGCTGAGGCTGGAAAGGGTTGCAACCCTTAGAAAGCATAGCCGCACTCTGTATGTTTGTCCGCTGTAAAATCATTGATTCCAGGATCAATGGCCCCACGCCCCCCTCAAAATCAACTACCAGCCACAGCTTTAGCAGGTATAACTACTTCCTGAACACCCTGGACAACTCCCTTTCCAACGAGGCTCCGATCCACAATAATGCCAAGTGAACATGTGAGGAGCGATAGATCACTCACCTCCAAAAGCTGCCAGGAGGCTTCCGTGGACACACTGAAGTCCCACTACAATGACCTGGTGTCCTTCGTGCGAAACCTGAGCGTGGAGGACTAATGAGAATGCATGAGGTTTCGTGGGAGCATGCTTGCTGCCGCTCTTTATCAGGAGAAGCAGGAGATTCAGCGAGACAACAAGGCGCTGTGCTCTTGTCAAGCTGCAATGTAGCAGCTGGCACCAGGACAGATTGTCCTCATTGCTTGAACAGGACTGGAATGCTGATCGACGCAGAGATCTTCAGGTCTGCGTGTAAGTCAGAATCAAACGTTGAACCATTTTGGGGTAGGTGCACCACCCATTTTAGTCTATTTTGGTGGGGATTGAGATGTTCACTGGGAGTACGATTTGGATTTTGACCCATGGCCAAATGTGCAGGAGCGCTGCCGGACGAAAGGCATTCTACAAGATTGACTGGCGGGCCAGGTGCAACACTGACCTGGGCATGCCGTTAATGTTCCATTTCGAGATTCATTTCTTACAAATAAAAGTACATATATTTCTGCATACAACTCGGATTTTTTGCCGCGCAAAACTCAATTTGGAAGAATGTCAGGATTTTGTCCATATTGATATTAAGGAAGCTGGTACATTTATAATAATATTAAATGATAATAATTATGTTCGATTATGTTTTATTTTCTTATTGTGTTGTTTCTTCTCTTAAATAAAGATAATTTGTGGTTTTAATTGTTTTGAATGTACTATAATTTGTGAATTGGTTTGTATTATTATAGTTTTTAGGAAATATTTTTTTTTATTGAGATGTTTATTGATGTGTGTGTTTTGTTAAGATGCGATGTATATGTTTGTTTTTTGATTGATAGGGAATAGAATTGGGATATGTTTTCTTGAAATTAGTATGATTTGGTTAGGTATTAAAAATAAAAATATAAATTGATAGGGTTGATTTGGATATTTGGAATTTTATAATTCTTGTAAAATATTGTTTTAAGGATGAGAGTTTTGAAGCGAAATAGATGTTGTATAAAATATATATTTTGTTATAATGAAAAAAAAAAAAAAAAAAAGAATTATAGAGAATTTATAATATATGTGATATTAATTAAATATTTTTTATACTAATATTAAATTTATTATTATTTTCTAAATAATTTGTGTATATTTAATATTCTTATTAATAGTAATTTAATATATATATTTTTAAAAAAATATATAGTATTTTAATAAAATTATTATAAAATATATTAATTATAAAATTAAATTAAACCAAATATTATTTTGTTTATAAAATTAAATAATATAAATTAATTATATATAAAATAATTATTATGGTTTATGATATTATATAAATTATATAAAATATTTAAAATACTTACATATATTTATTCGTTATAGAGAATTTATTATGGTTAAAATAATTTTTTATGATAATATAATGAATTATTTACAAAAAAATATATATTATTAGAATTATTATTATAGAATTGATATAAAAATATATAATTTTAAAAAATATATATTAATTTTAATTTAATCGAAGTTATTGATTAAAAACAATATTTATTTATGATTTATTACATGGAAATAATATTATATATATATGTTTTAATAAATATATTTCTAGAATTATATATTTATATTAAGTAATTAAATAAAATAAATAAGTCGAATAGATAATTAGAGGGAAATAATTATTTAAATAGAGGAAGATAAATAAATAGGTAGATATATATATATAGAATACTTAGAGATAATCTAAATCGAGATGTTCGAGAATATTATCGATAAAATAGAATTGAGAAATATAATCTCGTTTATTTTTATGCAGAATCTAGCGCCATTTTAGGCACGAAGATTATATAAAAAACAAAACCCAATTCAAATACACAAAAAAGACCGAACATCTAAAACCAAAAAACATAAATTCCTCTTAATTCTAAAAGACATAAATTCCTCCTAACTCCACAAACTAACTCCACCAAACGAAAACTAAGGAAAACAATTATAATAAACCCCACCAGACATAAGAAATGATGAGAAACAATCATTAAGAACAATAAATAAAATCACGAAAGCCAATATATCATCCTTAAAATACATCTCCAAAATAACCTATGTATACGCCAAAAATGCGTAACCTCTTCTTATTTTTATTTATTTTTGCTTGCCTTTAATATGGTTCGATTATATTATAATATTAATCCTTTTGCAAAAACAATTATATAAAATTTCAATAAATCTCTACCAATTATTGCAAATTTTAACTAGCTAAATGCCTATACAAAATGTATATATATATTAGATTAATATGTATTATAGTAATTTAAATTATAAATAAAACACAAAATAAATAAATATATATCAATAAATAAAGACAAATAAAAAACAAACCCAATAAATAAATAACAATATATAAACAAAATACATAATAATATAAATATAAAAATAAATACACAACAAAAAATCAATCAAACAAAAAACCACCAACATACAAACAAAAACAAACAACAACAACGACAAACAATAACAAACAAACAACCACACAAAAAAAATAACAAAAACCAACAAACAAACAATAACAAATATATAACAACATATAAATAACACCAAAAAAACAACAAAAATTAATCAATTACAAAAAACAAACAACAAACAAACAAAAAACAAAAACAAACAACAAACAAACCCAAACAAAACATACAACAAACAAACAAAAATGTGTGTTTTCATTTTTTTTAAACAACAAACACAAAAATAAATAAAGACAAACAAAACAAACAAAGAGAGCCAAACACAAACATAAACAAATAAACAAAGACAAACAAAGACAGACAAAAATAAACAGAGAAAAACAAAGACAAACGAAAACAAACAAACACAAATAAAGGAAAAAAGACAAAGACAAACAACAAACGTACAAAAACAGATACAGACAAACAAAAACAAACAGACAAATAGACAGAAATAAAGGAACAAACAGACAGAAACACACAGACAGACAAACAAACAGAAAGACAGACAGAAACAGACAGAAACAGACAGAAACAGACAGAAACAAACAGAAACAGACAGAAACAGACAGACAGAGACAGAGAGAGAGAGAGAGAGAGAGAGACAGAAGAACAAACACAAAAAGACAGAGACACAGAGACACAGAGACACAGAGACACAGAGACACAGAGACACAGAGACACAGAGACACAGAGACACAGAGACACAGAGACACAGAGACACAGAGACACAGAGACACAGAGACACAGAAGGACACAAAGACACAAAGACACAAAGACACAGAGACGCACAAACACAGAGAGGCAGAGAGACAGAGAGATATAAGGAGAGAAAGACGGAGAGACAAAGAGACAAAGAGGCAGAGAGGCAGAGAGACCGAAAGACAGAGAGACAAAGAGGCAAAGAGACGAAGAGACAGAGCAACAGAGAGAAAGAAAGAAAGAGAGAAAGAGAGAAGGTCTGAGAGCCGGGTGGTCGGAAGCGACCGAAAATTTGCAAAATTTCGGGGACTTCCGGGCCGCGCGAAGAGGCAGGAGCTTGCGCCGCGGAGAAAGGACCGGGACGGGCGCAAGCACGACGGCACGACGATTCGGCCGGAGTACCGCTACAACGGCTCTGCGGCGCACGGGAAATGCGACCCCGAGGGGCCGCTTGCACGGCGGCATGGCAAAGAAAGCCGAGTTCAGCAGAGCCACTAGAGCCTACGGGTACAAGGGCATGCGACAAAGTTGAGAGCCAAACAGCAGAAAAGCGAGAGTATGACAAGAACAGCCGGGTTTCAGCAGACCTGGGAACTCTGCAAACACAGCAACGAAGCCTCAAGCGCATGGACTCCCGGGCGTCGCGATGCGTAGCCAAGGCAGGCAACAGAGCAAATCGATTGGATGCAAACACCACGCGCCCGGCACGAAATTGTCCGGAAATTTCGCCTCGGACAAGTCCCCAAATTTCCCGAATATTTGGCCCGTTATTTTTTTTCGGAAAGCCGCCAAATTGTGAAGAAATTTGCGGGGGTTACGTCCGGAGATCTGAGAGCCCTAAACGAAGATTCGCACAACCCCCCCAAACTTCGGCAAAATTTCGGGGACTTCCGGGCCGCGCGAAGAGGCAGGAACTTGCACCGCGGAGAAAGGACCGAGACGGGCACAACCACTCGCCGCAAGCACAACGATTCGGCCGGGGTACCGCTGCAACGACTCCGTGGTGCATGGGAAATACGACCCCGAAGCCACACCGGTTCATAGGAGAATACATAAATCAAATCTATATTTAAATATATTATAAATTAATATGTCGTTATATTAATTTTCTTTCATTATTGGTATCGATACAATTTTATTAAATTTTAATTAAATTAAATAAATCAAAATAACATTTCGAAATTCTATATTCTCCAAATAAATATAAAACCACCAATATAACAAAAATATATCAAGCATAATTAAATCTATTATAAACATTATATATATATATATATATTGTAATTATATATTTGTGTAATTTATATTTCTTTAAAACAATATTATTGGTTTTAATTATAGATATATTTTTCATTATTCGATTCTGTTGTTATGTCATCGACATGGCCTCAAAGAAGAAGTTTGCCCTGTGAGACTAATCTTCTTCTTCATCGGAGTGTTTCGACAATAATTATCCAGGCGTCTCTGGGTTCTCGGCAGGCGGTTCAGGAGAATTGATGGCACACACTTCTTCACCAGTTGGGCAACAGAGGCCGCGTTTGCAGAATGCGCTTGTGGATGCTTGCAGGGGGTGTCTAGCGCTTTCCACATGCGCAGCAGGCAATCCAGCACATTGTCCAAGGCTGGCGCAAGCTGCTTTTTGAAGATCTCATCATCCTGGTGGAGCTTGTCTGCCCATGTGCTCCATGCATCTTCACAGAATACTTGTGGAGCGGTAGCAAACCAAGCCGAAAGCGTCATCTGCAAGAAATGCACAACAGCAGGGTCAATAGCTTGGTCAACCATCAACCCCTGGGTCAAAAGCTTCTCCCTGTCAAAGAAAGTAATAACTGCACGCGCCAAAGGCATGAGTTCCTGATGGCGGAGCCATTCTCCGAGGCCTTTCTCATCATTGGCTTGCGTGTGCCCCAGGAAAGCAGACACACGGGTTGCATAAATGGCGGCTATGGCTGCTGCACGCACTGGAGCCTCATGTTGGGCCAGTCGCAGCCGCTG